TCAATAAACTGGGTGACGCAACTCACTAGCGCGTTGGATCGACGGAGAGCACCGATACTCGGCACGCTCTACCGTACTCTCTCGCTCGCACACCTCCCTCCCATAGACCACCGAAATTCCTCGGCACCCGTCAACACCGACGGAGAGCACCGATACCGCGGCTCGCTCTACCGCTCTCGCTCGCACGCCGTGACGTCACCCGATTCCCGGAATCCCGCGGCCATGAGATGGCTCATTACGGTAAGGTAAGGCATTCCCGCAACGGCCAAAAGGTAGATTTGATAAACTATTTATGAAACTACATCTATTCTGAATTTATCTGTTACAAATACACAAATGTAAGGCAAGATATAAAAACGAACGAAATCCATTAACCATGCATTTAGAATAAATTGTCTTGTAGTTAAGTGAGAAAATATATACTTTTCCGTTTCATGTTTCATGACTGTCATATTTATCCCTTAACGTTAAACTGAAGCATCGGATATTTTTATTCCCGTCACATCATATAGATACACACACTATGAATGGAATAACACTTCATTGGTGCTAATAATACCCAGAATTCATGCTTTATCGGTAACGTCGGATATTGACATTACAATGGTAACGGGGCTACGTAGCCCTATGAACGTGGGACAGAAAAAAGCATTGGATGATAGGTCTATTCTATACCTAGTCGGTGGTAGTATTATGTATAAGTAGTTTTAAGGCAATTGTTATTAAATTTATACAAATCCAACGAAATTTGAATGTGACAAATCGTGAGAAAACTGTAAAATCGAGAAATTGGAAGTAATTCTGAAACTTAAAAGAAACTCGCGAGAAATGGCAAAATCAATAAACTAGCGACGTCTGGCAGCGTCTTCCAGAACTAGTTTTAAAAGTTTCTGCTTTGATTCAAATTTCCGCCAGCAGGTGGCTACCATAATTTAATAATTGCTCGAATTTAGTTTTTCGGCCAATTTTGAAATGCACAATGTACTGTCGATTTTAGTTGCATTTTTTTCACTGCTAAACGCTGACCCTTTTTGGCAATCCATATTTGAACTAAATAGGAGTTTTGTGGCTTAAAATTTGAGTTTCTCAAAACTAGTTTGAAAACAACAATTTTATTAAAGTTCTTATAAGAAAAGACAATACAAGCGAGTTACATTCTCCCTTAAAGTTTAGAGAACTTACGCTAGGTTGCATTTGCATTTGTTTTTATATATTATTTGTGAACATTAGTATGCAGTCAGAATGTTTGCATAATCAGATGCACGTTTCAATATACGATGAAGACACGTTGAATTGTGCAAATAGTTCCATAATAAAAGAATGTTGCATCGAATATTTTTTACACGTGCATAGAACAAAGTGATGAAGGTTTTTTGAACTGTATAATCTCTTACGTGGGCATTAAAAAAACATACTTCTTCCTTTTTTATGGAAAAATAGTTCAACGTTTTTTATTTATATATTTATATTATTTGTAGATCTGTTCGCAGTACGTCGGTATTTGAAAAGTGAATTGAAGTTTCTAAGCACATTTTATACAACACACTAACATTATAAATATCAGTATCAGGCAATATATAATCCTAGTACATCACTTTTTTTCTTGGTAATGCTGCTTAAATGGTGTAAGTTTTATGTTTGCTAAATACTAACTAAACAGTTAGTCTTATCATATCTACATTTCTACATCTTATCAGATAATACATGTATAACAGAAGTACAACCTTTAACTGAAGAATACAATATTCTAAACATTCTTTAAATATAACAAAAAAATGCTACTCAAGTATATACAAGATTTGCAGTACAATTTAATTTCAGAAATAATCCATATGAGTAATACTGCTTTTATTTATAACTTAATAACGAGAATAAAATAAACGAAATTAAAGCACAATCGATAAGACCTATAACATCTCATTCGATTTTTTAACTAATAAATACTGAACTGATATTTGAATGTAAAGTGTATTGTACAAACTGTGACACTAATTTCACTAATATATGGTTTACAATTCATACTCAATATAAAAACAAATTCTATACGCTATAACTACAGATATAATAAATACATTTCATTGTGATCACTAATAAGTGTAATTATTTCTTTTAATTACATTGCATTGTGTTAGTAATGAAACTTGAGTAGTTTCCATCTTTTATTGTACCGTGTGTTACATTAAAAATCTAATGTATCTAAATATCTCAAAAATATTGGCCCTTGTAGTGAAGGAAATATGATATTATGCAATTGCAATTATATTACGATTTCTTTTCATTCATTGTCCTTAGCTATAGATCAGTGTTCAATTTTCACATTACTAGTAAGAAAATGTTAGTAAGTGTATATTTGCGATTTATTGATTAGCGATAAAATCAAAATTCAATTCATTCTTCATTGTCTTCGATTGAATAATTTCGAGCGATACCTAACGATTATCGTATTGCAAAACAAATTTTATTAATTAACTTATAAATTTCTTATAGTACAATTACTAGTACATTAAAAATCTTGTATTTGTTACCTGAAAGATTTGCAACCAAGACTAGAAACATTCTATCGTGGTAGCTTCGATTCCCTTAAATACTTCATAAACATAAAGGTATGAAACTAGATATTAACAAAAATGGGTGACTTTGTTACTAAATAAAAAGTCTCAAATGTGATACAAATTTTGATTTATCATTCTTTCTACCATGACGTTAAACTCTGTATCTGTGAATGATATATAAACTCCGCAGACATTTCTCTTATAGCTTCTGAGTTAAATGCAAAGAAATGCACAAAACATTCATATGTTGCAATGGTATGCTATTATTGTATGTAAGTATATAAAATTTTCGTTTTTCGATATGTCCAAATATTACGGGAACTTAATGTTTTTGATAGGTGAATGATATTATGTATGTGCCTATCCTTAAGGAAACTATCATCGGTCCCACAGAAATTGTTGTACAATCATAATCCTTTGATTTATAAAGTTCTGATTTAACGTTTAAGTAAAAATATTTAATTACAATCTTTCTTGTTATGAGAGTAACCATAGAAAAATTGTAATTACTATGTGTATTGTAGGACAACTGATATTCACTCTTATGTGCTTCAACTATTTTAGCTTTTTGAATAAATCAGTCTAGAAATTGCTTTCAATTTCGGCAATAGATTTTTACCTCGTAATATCCAATTAGGCAGCATAGATGACATGCCTTCCACGCTTGTATTATTTCTCTATGGTTTTCTTTTTCATTCGGTGGAACCTTAGTAATCTTAAAGTTAATTAGTAGGCACAGGTTCAGCCATGAAGATTACGTACGAGATTCGCATACGAATATATACAACTAACACTGAGGTTTGTCCGTAGGAACAAGGCACAGCTGTTTTTTTTTTTTACTGAACAGCGTCGTTATTGATTGAGATTTAGCAATAAAGTATACACCTTACTCACTTCGGCAGACTTTAAAAGACGTGATTTTTATTTTTGCTAATTTTTTCCGAACAAATTGTCATTAAATTTCTCATCTACCTCATAGAATTATGAACATATATGTATAAAGTTTCTAATATGTGATTTAAAAAATTATTTTTATGATTGACTTCGCATTAAAAAATATCTTGTTTTTTTTTCTATCATGTATTATAAATAAATGGATATTTCTTTGAAATGGTACTCACTATTACCATTTGTACACAGTAGCAGCAACAGTTTGCTATTACATCTTTGCAATTCCACATCATAGAACATTTTGTGATTCTATTCAAGATACTGAATTACGAAACACACATACTGGATACAATGAGAATCCCTCTGAAATGCTACCAAGTCCTCCAGACACATAATCAAGTGTAGACACATTTTCACTCTTCGTAATAAATGGAATAATAAAAAGGATAACATCTAGGTATGCCGACGCAGTGCATTTGAAACCAGCACGCAAATGATAGCATTATTAAAATATCTAACTGAATTAACAAATGTTAAATCATTTAACTTGTATAAGTATGAACATTAAAATCTTAAATTGTATCATTTACAATGAATTTTCTATAAAAAGGAGTTTAAATTATGACTATACTTTTAAAACTGCTCACGTCTTGATACTTCGTAGTTCTTCATTGAAATGAATTTGGTCTATTTTTTGTCCGTATAAAATAAAATTGTCATTGTAATTCTGACTATTTCATGTTACTTGTGTCTTTTACCAAAGACATAATTTGTACAATTACATCATAAATGTCATGTTACAAATATAATGTCATGAGGAATATGTCTCACTGTATAAATTGAAATAAACGTTCTAAGGAATGACCAACTATAACAAAGATGTATACAACTGTGCAAGAATTTTCCATAAGGAACTTCGTTACTTAAACAAAAATTTTGTTATTGTGATATCAAGTTTTGTTATATCACATGATAGGTACATGAAAATCAATAGAATTATGTTCGTGTAATCAATATAACAGACTTCATAATTAAATAATTCTTCATAGCAATAGAAGCAATGATTGCGATTAACTAGCTATATTGTATCTAGTCATAAACATTCACTTGGAATTGACAATTCAGACATTCGTTAATTTTATTAGTCAACATCAAGAGTAGTGTTTAAGGCAGGAATATTTTTTAGATTACTACACTGTAATTTCACTCATGTTCGAACGTGATTTCTTATATAGCATAAAACGCTTTACCAGAAGTAAGAGAGCACATATGCAAACATATTGTAATGTATATAACTAGATGTTATAAAAAATAAATGAAGGACTAGGAATCTTAATGGATCCTGATGGATCTTGGAACCTTCACTGGCCGATGCTTGTGTACCATGAAATGTTCCATACTTATAAAAGTTATCCAAAAGTGCTTCTTTTTCAACCCACCTATCATACAACCATTTAGATAATAATTCTGGTTCCCGAGGAACCTAAAAGACGATGATACACTAAAATACTTCTATGATAAACAGAAAAAAATGAATAATAAAATATTGAAAACTTACCACAGAACTAGGAAAAACTCGATAAAACAGTACTGTTTCACATGGTGGTCTGGAACCAGTTATAATTGTAGGTAAATCAATTGGTTTTCCCTGAGGATATGCTATTGTTATATCAAGAATCCAATTGATTTCTGGTTTTGCTACTGTCATACCTGTATCAAAAGTTTTTAGAAATAATTTAATACCATACGAAGTAGCACTGTCCTACACACCTACAAGTACTGTTTATAAGGTTACTTACTTGGTCTATTGTCCAATTGTTCGTTCGATCTATTATTATCCTGTGATGGACCAATTGTATCATATATAGTTTGCATTGCTCCTACACGTGGCAGGGTTACATTTTCAAGAATAGGAAGATTATTCTTTTTAGCATATTTTTGCGAAGTCTCTCTTCTTTTACATAAAAAACCTCCTTCTGGAAACAGTACCATCCACTTTCTGTTAAGTGGAATGTATGCTTCTTTTAGATGTTTTTCTAATTGTTTCAAACTTTCTTCTCTGTTCTTACGACCCTAATGAATATTAGAAGACAAGTGTTTTCATTATGTATAATAAATTGTATATGTTGTTATTAAATTAATAAGACTTGAAGGCTTACAGATACAATAAAGAAGTCCTGATGTAAAATAGAAACTATACCAAAGTTGGTAAATTTAAAAATCCTGTCCATAATCCACATTAGATTAGGCAATACATTTGGTTTTGAATTGAATGTTGTCATTAGCATAGGAACATCACCGGTGCTTTGATGATTCGCTATTACTAATGTTCTTTCACTAATAATTTTTTGTATATCATCACCTTGTTCTATTACTGCCAATCGAAATGCAATTATTAATATTTATACCATAATTGATATAGATTTTAATTTTATATGTATTATTTATATATTTACTGTCATAGCCTGCAGACCAGGTCCACATTGATACCATTGCTAATAACCAATGGAAAAATAGTCCTTCGATCCGCCAATATACTTGAGGTTGATAAACTTTTACAGGAAACAATAATGTCATCCATACTACATATGTTGGTATACAATACATATTGTTTAATATCACAAAGCTGGTTCGAACGACACATTTTAGAAACGTTAATACATTATTGATTACCCTGTAAGACAGACATTACTGTAATATATTTTTACAAACTAGTAAGATAACAAATTATACAATTAATTTTATGTTTTTTCATGTGCTAAAACTAATTGACAATCGATAAATAGAAGATTTAATATAAAACTGAATACCAATGCTGATTCTTACATTAAAGGAAAAGCTATTGTAATATAACATGTATTAGTAAATATCATGTAAAAGGATAATATTATCTGTACACTTATTTCTGTTTAAAATATCGGTAAGTAAATATTATTTACTTAAAAACACGAGGACTATGAAATATGTACACCAGAAAGATAAAATATGAAGAAATCATTTCTATTTGCATACTACAATTTAAGTTCAACCGGTTGCAAAAGTAATTTCGTTTGTAATTTTAAAATGTCAGTTAAAAATATCACGCTGAAAATGCTTTATCATTCGAAAACTATAAAAGTATCCCGTACATCGCAAATAAATGTAAGCAAACATTAAAACGTTATCAACGATTTGAGTTAACGGAAAAAAAATTGTGATTCAGTTTACATTTATTGTCGACTCATTTCAACCGATATTATCACATTAAATTAATGCCACAATCGCCGGTATATACGTTGGCAAAAAATTCTGTAGAACCAACCGATTGGCAGAAAAAAACTAAAATTAAATAAGATTTAAAATGATCTTAAATTGTTCAAAGTATTGCGTTACTTGACCGCATAAGGGCCGGCTCCATACTGATTCTAGGTTAAGAATAGGACCAAATAATTAATATCGTCGGAAAAACGAAACGTAAGCTTGTCATCAAATGTCTCAAGGACACGTAGACGAATTTTTTTGGTAGGTCGACAGAAGAAGCGGAAAAAGGTTTCGCGACACGCGCCTCAATGGGGAATGGCACAACTTACCTCGCGAAAGTAGAAGAGGAAGAAGAGTCAGTCATTTTCGAAAGACACCGCTCGTGACGCGACTCCGATAATTTTCATCCAGATTTTTTCGAGCATAGCATTCGACCGGTACAGAAATTACATAATAAGGATCATTAGATCGGATGACACATAAGAACCGCGTGCTGTTTACATGAGACCGGAGTCTTAACAACAATGTAGCAACGAAATCAATCGAGCTTTGCCGCGTGGCTTTATCGTGTTGGATAATTGCTCGCAATATTGTCAATTTTTATTCACGCACCGCTACTAATATAAAGCCATTGTTGAACTAATATCATCGACTCCGTTCAACCATCCACATGACATTTTTTCGAAAATACACCATAGTCCGGTCGCCGCGTCTGCTATTACGCGAAATCACCACAGCGGACGTAACGTAAATAGAATGGCGACGAAAGTTAACGGGCTGCTTTAAATACTGCGATTGATCTTATCGACGATCAACGTATACTTCGTTGATCGATTTACTACTTACTTAGCTGTGAACTGAAAGAAAAAAATGATAATTAGAAGATAGAATAAACTTCGGTTCAGTAAGTAAGGTAAGTATGTTCGAAGTTGCACGTTTTTTTTTTTTAAGATTGTAACGGTCTTCCAATCATAAAATAGCGGTCTCGTCGTTTGAACCATTCCACTTTTTCTGTAGTATTACAACAAAAGATATTGAAAATTACATTAATAACTGATAAAGTGCATTGTACATAAAGAGATCTGCTATACAATAATAGAATACTCTACTTTGTCTTCAATGTTCGATTATTATTAATCAAATTTAACTTATTAAGAAATGTGAACCAATCGCAAACGTTTCTTTTCGCGCGTGTGATGTCGCTGTTTGATTTGCAGAGTGTGAATTCGTGGAAGTGTCATCATGTTGATAAGTTTCTATCTAACTAACGTATATTTTATATACCCGCTTGTCCGCTCACCGCTCACTTGCCGCCGTGCTCGACAATTGTCTACTTGGATTAGTTTAGATCTTTTAACACTCTGCGTGATTGTTGAAAGAAATAAACAGTGATAGACGGTTAAAATGACGTTGAATCTATTAGGATGTTCCCTAATTAGTCGTGAATTAAGAGAGTTGAAAAAATTGTCGGGACTTTTAACATTGAGACTGTCTCTAAGCACATCGGCGATTTCCAAAGGCTGTAAGGTACAAATTTGTTCAAATAAAGTGGTTATACAATAAGTTGCGTCGCGCGATGACATTACATTCGTTTGCTCGTATATTTCTCTTCAGAATTTAGATGTTCACGAGTTTTAAGGCGATCCAAAAGCCGTTTTTACATAATCGTTGAAGAACTTGATCCTAAAATAGTTTCCGAAAGATTACCGTGAAAAATTCCGTGACACTTACGGACAATTTTATCCACATCCTTTCGAAATGTCATCCTATGGTTTTGCAATATAACAATTGAATACGTTTGATATGTGATCATTAATCAGTCTCTCGAAAGAATGCAATGTATTTTTTAAATGGAATTAGAAAGTTCAAAAGCAAAGATTTAACGAAAAAAACATGGTACGAAGCGATTTCTTATATTTTTCTAAATGTTTACCGAACTACCTTCCCTTCTGATTGAAAAACAAATATATTCATAAAAGTCCTTCTGCTGATACAAACATTAATTCCAAATGATTGTAAACTTAATAAATGCATTTTTCGAATTTTATTTTGCATGATGCTTTTGTTAGTTTGTGCATCTATATATTGATTGTTTCATTCAACTTTTGTTTAGAATCTCTGACACATTATGATTACTTAGAACTGTTTTGTGTATCTGCATACATACATTCTCTATGTATACATGTTATCGTGACTAACTGGCTTCATTGGACTGACCTTCAGTTTCCCCTGCTCAGACTACTTTAAAGTCTCTTGGGTTATATTATACTTGCTCAGTTGAATTACATAATTTTTCCTTTCACCATGGTATAAATATAGTTAAAGTATTTTTTGGGAAATTTATTTAACTAGTTTTACTGAGATGTTGGTGTTATAATTGTAGGATGGAAGTAAGGAGTATCGTATTGAGAAAGATACATTTGGTGAGCTGAAGGTCCCCAAAGACAAATACTATGGGGCACAAACTATGAGATCAGTACTGAATTTTCCAATTGGTGATACCTTTGAACGTATGCCTGTAAGAGAATGCAATAAATTATTATGTTTTTATAAATTCTGTCTGTCTTATGCGTTTATAAACTTTTATCTATTACATTTGTTTTAGTACGGTGTTATTGTGGCAATGGGTATATTGAAAAAAGCTGCAGCAGAAGTCAATAAAGACTTTGGAATGGACACAAAAGTAGCAGAAGCTATCAGCAAAGCTGCAGATGATGTTATTTGTGGCAAACTATATAATGATCATTTTCCATTGGTAATTTGGCAAACAGGTTCTGGTACACAAACCAATATGAATACTAATGAGGTACTTATTAGTATATATTACTTCAAGGTTTTTCTAAATAATACTCCCAAGTACTTTATAATTATCATTTAGGTAATTTCAAATCGTGCAATTGAAATGCTTGGTGGTGAACTTGGTTCAAAGACACCAGTGCACCCAAATGATCATGTAAATAAGTCTCAAAGTAGTAATGACACTTTCCCAACTGCTATGCACATATCAGTTGCCTTAGAAATTGATAGGGTACTATTGCCTGGAATGATGTGTTTACGTGAGGCTTTAAACGAAAAATCTACAGAATGGAAAGATATCATAAAGATTGGTAGAACACATACCCAGGACGCTGTACCTTTGACATTAGGTCAAGAATTTTCAGGTAAGTATTAGGATATGTAGATATGAAATAGACATTAAAAATATAAGTTATTACCGATATATGTTTCTGGTATTCAGGCTATGTGACACAAATGACAAATAGTATTACAAGGGTAAAGAATACTCTCCCACATTTATATCAGTTAGCACTTGGTGGTACTGCAGTAGGTACCGGATTGAATACTCCAAAGGGTTTTGCAGAAAAAGCAGCAGCAAAGATTGCAGAACTCACTGGTTTACCATTTGTAACTGCTCCCAATAAATTTGAAGCTTTGGCAGCACATGATGCCATGGTAGAAGTGTCTGGTGCACTCAATACAGTTGCAGTTTCACTTATGAAGGTATATATTTTAATGAAATTCATTTATGTTACATTATTAACTAATATAATATAAAAGAAATTTTATGTACATTTCTTATTTAGATAGCCAATGATATTCGGTTCTTGGGAAGTGGACCACGTTGCGGTTTGGGAGAACTGTCTCTTCCTGAAAATGAACCTGGAAGTTCAATTATGCCCGGTAAAGTGAATCCGACACAGTGTGAAGCACTGACAATGGTTTGTTGTCAAGTAATGGGAAATCATGTTGCAACAACTATTGGTGGAAGTAATGGCCACTTTGAACTTAATGTATTTAAACCTGTCATGGTTGCAAACACATTGAGGTCTACAAGACTCCTAGGTGATGCTTGTGCTACCTTTGCGAAGAACTGTGTAATGGGCATTAAACCAAACAAGGAGAATATTGATAAACTACTAAACGAAAGTTTAATGCTTGTTACAGCATTAAATCCACACATTGGCTATGATAAGGTATCTACATAGATCCTCTTTAGTAACTTTATGAACTCTGATGTTTTGATTTATTAATGTACGTACAATAAAATTCGCACTTTGTTTCAGGCTGCTGCAATTGCAAAACAGGCACACAAAGAAAATCTTACATTGAAAGAGTCAGCACTGAAGAATGGTATCACTGAACAACAATTTGCTGAGTGGGTCAAACCCCAAAATATGATCGGTCCCAAATAAATTGATTATTCGAGCGATAGGAGATGTTTTAACACAATGTTTTGTTAAAGTTTAATACTTAATATTAATGTTGCCAATTGCCATTAAAACTACTATTGTACATTTGAAATGTATTTCGTATTTGTATTTATGTCTTTAGTCTTTCCTATTTAATAACTTATGTAAATTTTACAAACAACAAATATAGAATACTTAAATTTCCTAAAAGATGATGTTTCCTGAACACATTTACATCCTAGCACATTATTACCATTTCTGTATATTTGTGAATCACGAATCTCGTGCGTTATCTGAGCTAGATAATTCAGGGTATAGGTCAATGTCTAGCTATTATGCTTGTGTTACTTTACTACTAGCTCGTGTTCAATCATCAACTGAAACAACAGATACAAAATCAATATGTTATCTAAAATAGAAAGTGTCATTCTCAGATGTGTAGTTCGCTATTATTGCAAAGTGGGAGTAATTGGTGTACCATTTGAAAAAGGACAGGTATGTTTTCTAAACTATTTCTATAATGACTTCTTACTTATTACATTAATTGTACAGCACAAAGAAGGTGTAGCACATGGTGCACGAGTAATCAGGGAAGCTGGATTACTGCAAGAGTTAGAATCCTTAGGTAATTATTTTATTCAATTGCATCTATTTTCGGTATCCTTAAAACTTATACAATTAACTACTATTTCATTCAACATGGTAAATAAGGCTTGGACGTGAAAGACTATGGCAATGTTTCGTACGAAACGAAAGATGTCGATGGTGTGAATAACATGTCATATTTAGGTGAAGTTGCTGGTTGCACTGGTTGTCTGTCTGAAAAAGTTCAAAAGATTTTAAACGATGGCCGCCGAGTATTAACACTTGGTGGCGATCACAGTGTAGGAATTGGAACAATAGATGGTCATGTTAAGGTATAGCTCAAACGAAAAGTATACTTGCAGACATGCATTAGAATTGTACTATATTTTTAAAGGTAAAGAAAGATGTAGGTGTAATATGGGTTGATGCACACGCAGATCTTAATACAAATAAAACCAGTGAAAGTGGAAATGTTCATGGTATGCCTGTAGCATTATTAACTTCTGAATTAGCTGATTATTGGCCACACCTTCCAGGCATGGATTGGCAACAACCAATGTAATTCTTAGAAAGATTCATGTACTGAAATTATTAAATATAATTACACATATATAATAAAAATACTACAAATGTTACATTGCAGGCTATCCATAAGAAATGTGGCTTACATTGGATTAAGATCTGTAGATCGTTATGAAAGATTAGTCATTGAAAAATTTGGCATTATTGCTTTTGGTATGGAAGATGTTGAACGATATGGTAATTTTTAAACTCTGTATATATTACATTCAATTACTGCTTATTCATTTAAATATTTTATTCAGGAATTCATGATGTTGTTAACATGGCAATAGAAAAGGTAGATCCTAATGACTCCAAGTCATTGCATGTTAGTTTTGATATTGATTCCCTTGATCCTTTAGAAGCACCAAGTACAGGAACTCCAGGTAAATAAAACCTTTCTCTTTAATTAGTTCAAAGTAATCCTACCCAAGTAATTTTCATTGCAGTTCTCAAAAATATTTAAAGGGCATATGATTTTAGTGCGTGGAGGATTATCTCTTAGAGAAGCTGTTCATCTAATGGAAGAGTTGTATAGGACTCACAGATTAAATGCTGTTGATCTTGTAGAGGTAAATCCTTTAATTGGCAGTCCACGTGATGTGAACTTAACTATTGAAGCTGCCATACATATTATACAAGCTGGTTTTGGTTACACAAGAAGAGGTCTTAAGGTTCCAAAGGGAATTACTGATATGCCTTTACAAACATTTAGATAATAATTCATTTGTTCTTATTTAAGCAATATTCTTTAAATTTAAATGTAATCAAGTTACCACATTTTCTCTCCTCTGCAGCTTGTACACTAGCAGACTCTTGTACACTTTTAAGCAATACCACAGAAATATAACAGAGAAACAAAATGCAACAATGTATTTCATTAGTTTGTCTACTGATTATTATAAACCACAAAAATTTTGTTGGGAATATTGGCAAACTTAATTTCTAGCTTTGATATCTCTGGCTTCAAGTCTGATTCTGTAAGCTCAACTTCACAATCTAATATTCCTTTTGTATTTGATCCTGTCAGAGGAACTGTAAACTTTCTAATGTTGCCATTCTTTGGAAGAAATTTTATGCGTCCTTCTTTTATTGGTTCTCCTAAATGTTTCACAGTCTTCTCGTGGTTAAGAAGAATTTCTAAGATTCTCTGATAAGTTACTGTCTTCCGTAGTCGTTCTTGATATTTATACCCGAAAACATAACCACTACATCCAATAATAATACCTCCGAAACCAGCTATTCCAACTAATGTTTGAAGTGAAGGCATCTGTGTAAAAAGAAAGCAGTTCTTAACCTATGTTAGTATTAACAAAAATAGCCGAAAATTATAAGCACATTGTTTATATATAGAATTGTATTAAAAGTACGATATAAATAGAATTATATTTATATAAATAGAAACTTTAGGTTAGATTTTCCTATGAAAACTATACAGCACGAAAATTCTGGAGTTCTGGTTAAAAAAAAAGAAAAAAAGAGTTGTATAAATTGTCTTATTAAGTATATAAAGTGCGTACCTTTACCTATAAGTCAATCTTTAATATAATCCACGAATCAATTATTTTCTTCACTTTTACATGCTTTTCGAATAACCTTGTTACCTTGTTGTACCCTGTTCTCACTATACATTGCTATACATATATATGTATAACATATAAGTATTGTTCAAATAGGAGAGGTTTTCATGGATGGAACAATATCTACTCAAATCCTACTGTATATTCGCGCAGGCGAGCGTGTAATATGATTACATTCTAAAAATAAAATTGAGCTCTATTATAAACATAAGTAAATAAGATTAAAATATATATAATCGTAATGTATTTATCATGATAATAATATACGCTTTAATCATATGATTGGACTATGATAAATAGACTACGGATTTTATGCATTTATAGCCTATAGGGGCCTGTAAAATACAGTAAAAAACAGAAATTTGAAAACATCCAATAAATTTTCTAGTTTACTCTGAGTCCAATATAATACTTAAGAAAAGAATGTAATCCCTAGATTTGCTCTGCTCTGTATGAATTTCTGTAGAAAACATCATTTTGCATGAAAATCCACAGTCTAATGATAAATCATTGCTTTTTCCATAATGAATATTTAATTAAATATGGTCGAGGAACATTCTTTCAAGTAGTAAGATTGTCCGGTTTATTTCTTTATTTCAACAAACACAATATTTCTAAGAGTATGCACAATGCATTGGAGCAACTGTGTTGCTGTACACAAAGAATTTTTAATGCCAGCTTGCATACAGTCATGTAATAGGTCTCGAGTGAAGTACACATCCGTGAAAGTGTGATTCGAGTAACGAGATACTTGTATCTTAGCGCGTCAATGTTATTAGTTATTTTAACTTTAGATACATACGGGCATTACAACAATACGCACTAAATTCGTAAGCTTAGTTATACTGTTCTCTCTCTCTCTCTCTCTCTCTCTCTCTCTCTCTCTCTCTCTCTCTCTCTCTATTCTCCTTTGACAGAGAGTGATCTACAAGTTATCTTGTATATTTTTCTAGATAAATATAAGTATTCTCGGTGATATAGTAAATTTCGCTCACACGTATTTCGATAAAATCTTTATGTACAAAAAATTACAAAAAACTGAATTGGCATGAGAAATTCATAATGACGTATACAAAAATGAAGATTGTATAATTCATGTACGACGAGGAGGTATATTCCATAGAGCGTATACATAGATTACCAGAACTGTATCTTACGTAAAATCAATATACACATTATAATATATAAAGTAAGACTAGATGCGAGTGTCAGGGGACCCTACCTACGATCTACAATCAATAGAGAGTGTAATTCGAGTCACAACTCAGAAGCAAAAATCACCTGCCTTAACGCAAGAATATGCGACACAACAACGGCTGAAAGCGTACTGGCAAGGAGAAGAGAGCAATTGGTATTCTTCAATATTTAATATCTTTCTTCCTGATTTCCATTGTCCTTCCCGTGAGACTTACGGTATTCTCACTAAGTGGGACACAGTACTGAAAATGTACAATTGTGTCCTGAATGATTGCACTTCCAATAATAATACACGAATATCCCTATAGACATTCATGTTAATATGTAAGTTATAAAATTTCATTACCTTTGAGTATGTAATCCGTTAATAAAGTAGGTACAGTTGGACTATCTTCGTTAATTGCTTTTAATACTGTAACAAATTATGACATTTCAGTCTAACAAAATATCACAATCACCGATACATATTCCTAGTACTTACTTTTTATGAGGACCTGCAAGGCTTGATTGTCTGGCGGACCACTGTCCGTATGGTATGGAATTACAGTTGTCAAATACTAAAAAAAGCATAGAATATTATTATTTCTCCTTCGCCACTCATATTAATTAACAAAATTTCTTTCGCACGTCGAGCATTACCTTAGATTCTTGCAGGGATCTATGTTGTGGCAAGGGACTAGTACCATTTTGCATTTGATTTCTCTTTTTCGTTACATGATGCTGCCTACGTCGGTTTTGTACAGCCAGCAACAACGAGATGAACTGATTCTTCAGCTCCTTCTCGTACTCCAACTCGTCTCTCAACGCGAGTTCGGCGATCAGGGTCTCGCTTAGGGCGCCCACCAACGATTCCATCTCTCCAAGGAGTTCGGTCAACTGACTGGAGCTAAGCTGTTTTAACTCTAAAACAAACATCGTGATTCAAATTAACGGGGTCCATATTCCGATACTGTTTATTGTTTCAGATCGATCGATGGAAACGTACTTTTCTCGTGGAGCGGCGAACCAAGAACTTCTCTGCTCCTTTCCAACGCCTCGTCGCTGTCTAGTAATGAACCATCCGAGTCTGGTGACCGTTCCATCGAAGGACTCTCCTACGAAAACACGATTATTAATCCCAGGCATGTCAGACTGTACGTTTCTAGAGCTTAAGAAAAGCCACTGAAGCTATGTGCATACAGTAGTTGGATTAATTATTTGCTCCTATACATATATCGTTTTTAAATACTTCTTTATGTTGTTAGAGATTATGTTCTAACAGTTTCTATAATCATCGCACCGCCAATAGCAATTTCAAGTAATATATGTACAGTTCTCACTGTTGAGGCTTACACTGTATGATGCCGGGTCGTGAAAGCCTCAAATCTCTGTTCAAGTAATATCTTTCTCACTATTGCGTATCTTTTAATTATATCGATCTACTTATGGCAACCAAGTCTGCAAATACTTGTTATAGCTACTGTGCGCAATACTGGCAGCCTCACCTGCATTATATCGTCTATCTCGCGGAGCACTTCTTCCGCTGTCTTCAACTGTTCCTCAGGGCAGTGTGTATCGATGCTGCTGGACAAGATTAAAGCATGCATGTCCAAATCAGTCGCGACAGCCTCGTCTTCGCTACTTAATTCCTCTAGCTCTTGTCTAAAGCAAACAAAATGAAAGCGACCAATTGGCAGACATTAATCGCGTCTTGCTCACCGGCTACAGATTTCCGAATTTCTGTTTCTTGCGGACACAGTCACAGAAAATGGACTGTTCCAGAAACGAAAGCAGCTAAGATATTTGACGGAAAAAAAGACAAAAAAACGGCCAAAACAACTCACCTGTCGTTCGAGAGCGGTGTCTCGTTTAGATTCAACGCGGGCATATGCATTTTCCTGGCGTACGATTTGCTCCAGTCAATTGGTAGTATGTTACCAAAAGTGCCGGTTATCGTCCACCACATTCTAAACAACATACATAACACGATTAAATGATTTACAATATATCACCGTTTTTAATAAGAATCTGGAGTAGGAAAAAGAGGAACGTCCCTAGCCTTCGCTTCGAATTATTTTTTCCCCAATAGACACACACACACACACACACACACACACACACACACACACACACACTTCATTGGGGCGTGTTACTAATTATGCGGACATCACCACAGCTGACTCATATCCTCTTGCTAAATTGTTCACCGACGTTTTCAAACTACGAATTGAATTAGCGGGTTTCTATTTTTGCGCCTCGACGCGAGCTGGACACTTTCTCAGAATTTACACTCCTGAGCCTCTCCGTGATTTTTATTTTCTAACATAAACGTCCGCCACTCGAAATACACACCGAAAGTCTTGCAATAATTGCGACCAGTTGTTTGAGTGAACCTCAGACACGATCTTCGAAGTCTTGACGTGCCTTGAAATCTCATCGTGTTGATGTTGATACCAACACCGACAATCGTCTGAAATCCGTACCAATCGAACGGATATGTGAAATCTTTACATTAAAGAATCGCCAGTCACGTGGATCGAACGAATTTTCCCGTTGTCATTAGCCTCTGGTAAACAATGTTGCTCGATGCAAGTCACTGTGAAACTGATCTAGATCGAAAGCGCTGTAGAAAAGAGGCGCAGGTTGTTTCCAGGCACGTTTAAGCGTTAAATGGCCACGAAAGGCGCGATAAGATTCTCCAGCATCGACATGGACGTTCTGTTCAGTATTCGTTTTCTGGGATAGCGTGTGAATCACTCGGCTTTCGTAGGCGTTTCCTGGGTATAGGCACGACAGATAGACACACGCGGCGCACACATTTGATCTCCTGCAAACAGAGAGTAACTTATTTCGATAACAATAGAGGTGGCCGGTTTCAAGGAAATTAATGTGTCCGGTATGAATCGACGACGATAGTGCCCATGAACGTATTCGATCAATGCGCCTAGTCTCACATCTCTGATTTGTAAACAATCCCGATTACATAACAAATGCGTTAGATTAAACAACATGTGAAACGATTACATGTAGTTACCCTACAATCTTACAGTAGCAATAATTGGGACATCTACCTTATACATGTACAGTGTATTACAGAACTTACGAACGATTGTATTCTAATTATTTGTTCTCGTTATCCATTCAATTTAAAATCCCTAGGCACGTATCTGTCTTTCTTCAGACTAGTAGAACGAGGTATCAAAGATTTTCTACAATTTTCTGCACACTTTGCGCACTACATAATACATAATATGTAGTCTTCGTTTTTTGCTCTGTTTCCTTTGGTATACATATAAACTCGCTGTAAGAGCAACGTTCTGTTAAAAGAATTCAACGCTCGGGGTCGCAGACATGGGCCCCCTTTTAATTGGGTTTAATGAACGTCCCGATCCCTGTATTTTCGTCGCGCTGGTCCTCGGATTCCTTCTTCCATCAACGTATCCCTCCTCATTGATTAAACTGATGGTTTGTTTCCTTTCTGTTCGAGGGGGCAGACGTCGCCGCCGTCACCGCTGATGGCGAGCCACGGAAATAAAAAGGAGCTCTCTCGCGGCGCAACAGAAACCAGCTCGGTCGATGGTGTCGGATTAACAAATGGAGGTCAATTCGACCCACTTGAGTTTCTCATTAATATTAAGTGCATTAAGGCAGTGACTTCATCCCAGACCGCCACGCCGTATGTTGGTCGCATCGAAATGAACGGCTAAACATAACAGAGACTAGGGGCGACATATGGGTGGGTGAGAGAGGGAGAGAGAGAGAGAGAGAGAGAGAGAGAGAGAGAGAATCATCGTCGCGGTTTAAAATCAATACGCTCCAAAGATAGACGACGTCATAATGGGAGAACAAAAAACGCACACCCACATTTGCGTAAACATTCGCCGCGAGAATTATACACCAAACGTTAACTGTAAGTACTTGTCTTCTTTTTTTTTGGCCTCATTCGTTTCCCGTCATGACCAATACAGGAAACGGAAAACAAAGAGGAATATCGTAATAATTAGGATGACACTGAATCGCGATCAATATCAGTTGTGCCTGCAAACACATTTGTTTTGGTAAGTGGTTCGATGACTGCTCCGTTCTCTATACACGTCCGTTCCAATAAAATTGGATCGTGAAAATTGCAGGGAAATTCAATTCACAGGAAAAAAGCTACTTGTTTATTAATTCATCGTTCGGTTCAATGATCCGCGACGAGACTCCGTACGCCATCGGTTGCGTAACGCCGAATAGCCTGGTAAGAGGAAAACAATGTCCTCGTAAACGTATTGGTTGTGCAACGATTAGTTACCGCAGGATTGTGGAAGAGGTTTTCGGCCCTGGGGAATTTGGGGTGTTCTATCAACATGGACGATCGTTTTGCGTGAGACGATTGAAGGAGACATAAAAATGGGTTGATACGATGCATCGAAAGAGTAACATCTTGTGTGCGCTTCTGCAAGATCGAGATACATGTCTATCTGCGCTCATTTCCCTGAATAAGTAAATTGAACCGAAGAAACGGGACGCGCGAGTACGCCCGATAGTCAGAGGAACCATCGTAACGAAGGTGGGTCCGTATAGCGCGTGCGCAGTTTTATTGACGTTTGTCCATCCGGAGGATGGCTCGATACGAACGGCGGAACAAAACACAGAGATCAAATTTTCATGCCTCCACGATTCGATCACGCACAATTTCTTCGCCGCGAGGTAGTCGTGTTATTGACCGTAAGTACCCGGGGACCGGATTTTGTTGTCTCGCGCATTCTTTTCGATCATTTTGGCTACCGTTTTTACTCGGGCCGATGTTCACCGTGAAGACTCGAATAACTCGTACGATGCGTGCTAATGATTTGTATATGTATGTATACTATCCACATGGTTCGTTTTATGCCCTACAACATATATTTTTACGCGAAATGGCCATAACATATATTTCTCGGCTTCACTTTGTTCGGCTAATCGGATTCGGAGAAAGAAAGCTCCAACTCCCGACCTATCGACAACCTATGTCATTCATCAAATTATGGTATACAAAGTCTTTTTTGCTAACCCTAATATTCCATAAATGGCGACCAACGAAATAACGTACCACACCTGTATAGGTGATTAGCTCAGAGTGAACGATGCTCGATGGTTCTCCAACGTTCGTGGAATATTTCCTAAAATCACGTCGGATAAACCAAAACCAAAACAAATTCCACGGGTATTGAAACGCGGGGCGAAGCCGTCGTGACGAGAGACTTTGTCGCTGCAAGAGCATCACGGGTACGAAGAATCACTCGGTCTCGAAAGGGGTCGCGGGATAAAAAAGCAATGAAGACGTCAGAAAGAAGAGGAAGTTCGATGCCGCGAGGCCGAGAAAGTCTTTCGGCTCGGTCGAGTGAAAAGGACTCGCGAGGCTACTGTGTTTCGCCAGCGTTGAAAGGGGTAACCCCACTCCCCCAAAGTGGGACAGGGGCCAAAAGCGACAACGAATATACGACCTTGCCTGACCCGAGATTTTATTCGTGAAAAGTTGGTCCCCCCGATCCTTGAGACGAGCGAGTGTCTTCGTCCGCGACGAATTGAATTACGGTCGATGGCACGCGGGGACTTCTCTCTCTCTCTCTCTCTCTCTCTCTCTCTCTCTCTCTCTGGCGGTGTAAATGTGCACACGGGCGTTTCGCTACTCTTTCGTTGCCTGGCCTAATGCATGCACAGAAAAAACAAAAGAAAAAAGAAGTGAGGCAATGTTGAATGAAACACGTGGGATAACACATGTCGTTTCTGCGAACCTCGGACGCTGACCTCTCGACTTCTCGCAAAACACGTTCGGCCGAAGATGAAACCACTGCAAAAATTGCGTAACTGGCCGGGCGGGGTCAGATACGGATAAAAAATGTATATACCGGGTGTACCGCGTGAAATAAGCAACGGTTGCAACTACCCGTTCCATCCTAGATTCATGTTTTCCTTATGACACTGTAAAGGTCAAGACGAGGTTTATGGATTGAACGGTTAGAATCAACTGAGTCGCCTGTATAGTGTAGAGTGTAGTACCTTGATCCAGTAGGATTTACGCGGCCCCATAGACAATATGATTTGTCGTACGACTGATCGTATAACCTAAATAGGTCGCTTCGATCGTCTAAACGACAGTTCCAACCGTCGAAGTGATGTACAGTAAATCCTCGATCAGTGTTCGAAGGCTTCTTGGTGTTGAACATTAGATATTTCATAAACTAATGGCCACGCGCGGCTAAAACAAATATCATTAGCTTCGGAATTCCAAGATCTATCACTGTGCTAAACCTCATTAAAAAGTCAGCGTTACACCTGGGGACCTCCCCTTCTAAGTGCCGAGGAGCCTTCGCATACTCATTGAAGATTTACTGTATGTCGTACGACAAATCGTATCGTTTATAGTCTATGGGAACCTTTAGATCTCCCACTTTATCATTGAAAATTCAAAGTTTGCTCGTAATATAAACGTAGCAAGTGCCGTCAATTTTTGGTGTACATCGTAGGTATTCGGAGACTGTTCGTTGTTTTCAGTTTATTTACCGGAACCCTCTTCCGACTGACTTGATAAAAGTCCAGACGGATTTTGCGAAGACAGCGGCGGGACTTGAAAGGAATTATGCACAACGGTGGACAATGAAGTACAAACGAGTTTAAGAGAGCCCCGCCTCGCCGCCGCGTTACTATACACCCGAAGAAGATACAATTTTGCGCTTCGTTGAGCCTTCACCTGCAGTCTCGGGGCGGTTTGTCGGACACCTGCGGCGCGGCTACAATGAACATTGTTCGCTGAAAATATTTACCTAGAGTGTCCCTTCGACCTTAACCAACGGGAATTCTAACTTTCCTTCAAGGATACTTTTCCACCTGACCATCGAAATTTTGACAACGGATAAACTTGCCCGACACTTCTTCTACCAGATATCCCTTCACGAGCATTTGTCTGATCGATTATCGAAATCTCTCATATCGGTTCACCGTTAATCATCCTAAATTCTAAAATAACTGTATGGATAAGGTGTAGCGACTCTAATTAACTTCAAAAGCAGTCCAAAACATTTTCAGTACGAAAGACGACTAGTTAAAATCGATCCCATAGTCTAATTCTAATTAGACGGCAACCCGCTTCTTGTTTCAACGCGCGCTGTCCACATCGCGGAGAGAAAGCTGCAGAACGCGCCGCAAACGTCATGTAGAGAGTACTCATGGCGGCACACTTTTCAGTTGGAAAATCGATACGTACCATAATTCCGAGATCAGACTTGCCGCTAGTATATTCACGCCACGGAACGTCCGAAACGATTGGAAAATAATTAACTTTTCATAAAAAAATGGAGAAACCCGCATAGAAACATACATACTACATGATACATACCCTATAAACTACTGCCCCAAATATCTCTATTTACTTGCAAGGGAAGGACCCCAACTGTCCGAATTGGATTTTAACGGGGTTTTGTAAGATGATAATATACAGTGTACAGACTCTCGATAATTTTAAAGACTTATAAACAATCAAAGTGGTGTACCTTTAAGATGTACAATTATAAAACTTATCAAAGTATAAGGTTGTTTAACTGATAAATCGGAGCTCCTGGGATCGATTCTCGTTCACCAAAATATAATATTTTTCTTTCTCTTTTCTAACGCAACTTCGATAACTTCAACTTGTATTACAAGTTACCTACACTCGAAAGTTCGTAACTTTCATTGTTGAACCTGTATACCTATCATCTTACAAAACCCCGTTAAAATTGAAGTCGAATAGTTGAGGTCCTTCACTTGTTAGTTTCCAAGAAGACAGTTATAGTTGCGCAAAAGTAACATTCAATTGACATTGCAGTAAATCAGAGCGTTGTCACTGCCTGATATTTACACGATTACTGACTAGTTTTCCCCAGAGACATTCATAAACGCTAATTCGACACGGACCTGACACCATACCAAATATCTATGTCTATAGACACCCCGTTGTACGACTCCATCCAGCTTCAATGAACACGTATGTACCAGTTATCGTTCAGCGATATTAGTTTAACTACTCGAGCATTGAGTGAAATTGCTACTCGCGCGTCTTAACGACTCCCGAAGAAAGCGTTAACACGGGTATTATTTAAACGGGATATGTATTATCTGTAAAACAGCCGAACGGACGGATGAACGGCGACGAAAGGCGTAATCTGGCGAACATTTTTTGCGCGATTTTATAGGAACAATAAATTCAACCGGTTCGTAATCTACGGCACGCTAATGCCGCCCGGGACAACGTCCCTTCAATTATGTCATTGAAATACCGTACCGATATGGTAGTTACGATTCCCGCGCGAATAATATAACGGCGATGCCATAAACGATTACTTCCGTTCGGCCGGAACGAGTCGACCATCATTACTGTACGACGTGTATACATATGTGTACATAAACGTGGATCATCATCATCATCATCGTCGTCGTCACACGCACGCACACGCACGCACACACACACACACACACACACACGCGCGCGCGCGCGCGCTTGGCCGTCCTGTGGTAATAGATATCTCAAGGTAAACGCGACAATTTGAACGCGATAACACACCTCGATCTTCGGCCTATTCATTTACCAAAGCCGCTGCCGCCATCACCACCAGTGGTGTGGTTTGTTTTTTAAATCGCGAACCGGTATAACTGTACGCGGGGGGAGGAATATCGCGTGACCCAAGGATCAAGGGAGAAACTGCTCAGTCGCGTGCGCTAACTAACGTAATTTTCATTCGCACCCCTCCCCCAACCCCCTCGTGGCTCTTTCAATGTCCGAGGTTGACTTTAGTCGTCATTCGAGCAACGACTCGCGGGGTGGTAGACACTGATTATGGTTGTCGCCCGTAGATTGTATTCGAGGAAAGATGCGAAACACGATGTTTATCCTTCGTCTAAAGTGTAATTCGTCACCGTTAGCCTGGTTTAATGCCCCTTTTTTTTATTTCAGTAGGTGTGTGTGTAATGAATATCGTAACGTACTGGCACTCGTTCATGATCTCCTCCTGCGTCCGCACTTGCACAGGTGCCAAAGACTCGACGTCCGTGCCGTAATCGCGGAAGCAGGTTGTTATCTTCTCGTCGAAGGTATTAACAAGATCCTCGAGGCTGCCACTGAAGGGGCTGAACGTACCCTCTTGGAGGGTATCGGTACCGTTCTCATGGGTCCCTGCCGGTTCGTTCGCGTTGCAGTTTTCACTATAGCCTCCGTCCAAACTGGCGTCCAACAATTGTTCTGTACAGAAAACGAATCGTTAACTTTAAGGTTCCCACAAACCAACAGCGATAGATTCGCAACAGTTTTAAAATGCATGCCGTCTTATGAGGCTGTTCACACCAATGTGAAAAATTTCCGCAAAAAATTTATCTATAAAAAATCTATCGCTAATATAATAATTTATTTTTAAATGTTAAAGCCTATTCTTATTCTTAACCGAGTACTCAGACAGTTCGGACGTACTGTATTAATAGCGAAAAAGTATAAATAACTCTAATTAATTATTAATTCACGTTTATTATTATAATTAAGTATACAAAACTGCACAACTGTTGTTCCATTTATCGTAATCTGTTGCCACATCGAAAAAAATATCGTCTGTTCGACGTGGGCTATTTAAAACAATTAAATTAAATGACACGCGAGCGTGTACGAGTCATCGGTTCTAGCGGGATTCCAGAGTAAACACAAGTAGAGTGAGCGGAACGAAGAGGGACGCGGTCGGCGGCAAAAGCGAAAGACGGATCATCGTTTGTAGGCACATACACAGAAGCGTTTTGACTTACGACGAGGACAACGATGACGTCCGACTCGACCGGTACATATTTAATTATACACGTCTACGCGTTGTTGGTTGTTATCACTTATATAAAGTTCAGGGACTTTCCTGTGGAGGATCGGTGACGTAGCAGACCGTGTCGTATATGTTTTGGGCAGGATCGAATGTCCATGATTTCTTTTTCACGTTTTCCCCGAACACCAGGTTTTTCGCGTTTCCGTGCTCCCGGGCTGCCTCCGATTCTCGTCGCAGCGGGAGGATTTCAATGCGTTCTACGATGTCGCGAAAAGTGACACGAGTGTCGTGCTCGAAGGCACGTGCGGAGACTTTCGAAATACATAATGTTATTCGAAACAGAGTTAAATGTACACTGCGTTCCATTTCAGGAAATACGCGTGTATATGACATAACGAAATGATCAATCAACAATTTCAAGCGAACGCTGGAATTGCACGGTTCCAGCGTGTCGAGGCATTACTTATATAGCCCGATGCATTAGAATGTTCGCGTTTATGGACGATGGAAAAAAAATACAGTGCAGTCGTAAAGTAAACCCTTGATATGTGAGTTCCCTTTTGGTGCTGGAGGGCGTACGATTGCATTACGTACAAATATTAATTAGTATTTGCAATGCTAGAAATTCTTCCTGGATTTAAATAGCTATCGACGTTGAATTAAAACAGAAAGACATTGAACTGACATTGTACAGCACTTAGAGGCACACTTTAAATTCTATATTTTTGTTAATACTTTTGTACCAGCGGCTGAAACACGAGTACCTTAGCTTCCTCTCGATTTTACGATTGAACTACACATCTTTTCTGTCGAGTGCTCGAGTACTTATATACCTTTCGCTGTTTCAGAATTTCGTGAAAGCCTCAATTATCCTACCTTTTCCATCACCGTGCCATCCGAACTGGAAAATATTGTATAATTGCCTTAATATTTACTCGCTTGATCGGCGTTAAAAATGGGAACGCGTAGTAAAATTTTAATGGTCTCCGCGAACGTATTGACGTTTCTTATTATGGTCTCAAGAAGAATTAACACGGGCAAGATGTTGGACGGCAATTGTACGCGTGACGTGCGCCTTTTGTCGCGGTTCGAAGGTCGCTTCTTTATGGTGGCTAAGTACGCCACACCACCCTTGTTATTCGTTTCTAAGGATCGCAAAACGAGCGTGACCACGCATGCACACGCGCGTTTCACGCCGTTTATACTCGGACAGACCCACGAAACCTGTTTCCACCACGGGAGACAACTTTTTCGGTGTCGAAATTTCCGTTTATAGGTACGGGTCGCACTACGGCGCCGGCTTCAAGAAAACCGGGACGAATGACACCGACACCACGCGGTGAACACACAGAAACTGTTCTCGATTCCTTATCGATAGCACCAACTTTCTTTGCGGTTCATGATCGCACACGACAGGAACGAAGGAATTCGGTCCCAAAATCTCCACTCGCTGTACACATACACCTTTTTGCAAGTTAAGTGTACACACACTCTCGACGGAAAGAAGACTCATATGACCGTCCGCGAAACATTTTATTACTTTGTAAGTAGGATTATCCCACTTTCGAAATGGTCGGAGGTCGATCGCGAATAGAGTAGAGGAGAGTAGAGGAGAGTAGAGTAGAGGATGTCGAGACCGGTGTAACTCTCAGTTCGCGTAATTTTGGCACTCGACGCGACACACGCTGTTACTAAAGCAATCCCGTATCGGGAACATCGCGATAAACTTTCGATCCATAGGAGGTTACGCGACGGAGCGGGATCCGTGAGTCCGTAAAACGAGGTGACGAGCCTCTCGCGAACAAAAGAAATATACACACGAGCCGTGTTTTTCTCGCACCTGTCAGTAGATTCATGTTCTTCAGACTGGCCGTGTCTTCCTCCTCGAAGCGTGCGAGGGGTGCCTCGAACTTCAACTCTGCGATCTTGCCCGCCATGTCCCTCATTATTGACCGTGTGGACAACCGAGAGCAGAATGGATCACCGCAATGAAATTCGGCACCGTACACTTGAGGCAGCGCCTCCGAGGCGCACCGTGCTCCCCTTGAAGGTTTTTCACGAGGGGCGAGAGTAAGAAAGGGCGAGGGAACACGCAAAAACCATCGGTGTACTACGCACAATCCGCCGCATGCGAGGCTTCGCGAATGACTGACGCAGAGGGGGCTCGTTTGTAAAGTGGTGGGGGAAGATGATTGCTCGTCGCCATGACGACCGCTGGCTGAGCGCGCCGATGCCACCGAGCGTTTGCCAGTGACGTACACATGAAACATTGGTTATCCAAAACTCGAATATACATATATGTACATGCATGTAATTTGAAATAGAGTAACGATTTATGTACAAGATTTGAATGATAGATTTGAAATTTTTCGAATCTCGTGAAGTATTATCGTATTCAAAAAGTAAAACATTCTTTCGCTATACAACAATAGGCACTATGTAACAATATTCATCGTAACATTGATCTGTCATCATAAAGTAGGTTTAGTGGAAACGGTCTACATCATTGTTTTTTTTTACATATACTAACACTATTTAATTATTTATGAATGGTGTTAAAGTATTACATATTAGTATGTGTATATGTTCGTATGTATTCAAGTGTCGGATTTTTATTATGTATGTACATACACATACATACGATCCTGGAATACGCATTTTTACTCGTCGGGTAAAACATCAGTATGCATGACGCTGTCGGTAAATAAAAAATTACCTGCTTTATCTGCCTTCCTACAGTTATCACTAATCGGTAAAGAAGCGCATTTACAATGGCGGTGCCAGCTTTTCGTCGCAAGGCGCCGTCGTATTCGTTTGAGCATGAAATTTAAATTATATTAACAATTTCAACAAAGAATAATGACATATAAAAAAATCACTTTATAAGAACACTAAAAGCGACAACATATGTGAAAATAATATTCTAAATTCTTCTTCCTGCGTCTTAAGTACATCGATATATGTATTCTATATGTAATATGTGTTATTTTTTCAAGATGTAGTTATACATAACAAACTTCTTTGAAGACTATAACCATAGCGTGTTGCCGAGCCACGCCTCGTCCATTATAAAGTGAAAAAAATGTATTGGGTCTATCAGGCTTTGATATACCTGCCGCAGCCTTGCTCTCACCTGAAGCAACCATTACATTATACGATGGTGGGGAATTTTATATTCGAAGGTCTGTTTTTGACATTTCGCTGCAGACCTGCTCTTTCAGCAGCAAAAGAACGAATCCGTCAGCGCGATAAAGTCATCCGCGAAAGGACAACATCCGAAAATACCTGCCCTAGTTTGCTGCTCTTAGAAAATGCCGCGTTGCGTAAATAGGTATGTATCTCTTTGTTTAAGTGTTTAACATTTCGTTGCAAGTATTCGTACCGGGCCAGTATGTCGTGTAATTCACCTGTTAGTAGCTCGTGCGGGACATTAAAGAAAAAATCACACTATAATAGAGGAATTGTGGTTACCCTTGGTAATATCACGCATAAATCTCATTGTTGACGCGAGCCGGTAATTAATAAAGGCAACGGATATGATTTTTTTCCCCCTGGAACGTGATCTAAATGCTATCGAAACCGAAGCGATCGACGATGAATCGGTACGGCAAACGATCGATTTAACACGTGCCGTTTGAAGCGGTGATTCAAGCGGAAGATTTTTCGAGATCCTTTTCAGCTACATTGTGAAAAATACGTCACGTGTTTAAAGTGCTCATCAGTGACGTGATTTCTCAGGCTTATTTCTAAGTCATGGGTATTGGTTCGCGAGCCTTATCTCGATAATTGACGGAACGATCGTTTTAAAAGGACACGGATAATCGGGCCTGGTTTGCAATTGAAAAAAAAAGGAACCTGATATAAAAGATTCATTAGAGGCGGTTACCAGTTGGCGGATTTGCACGTCGCTCGGAACGAGGATAAGTCTATGCCGTTTTCGTAGCATTATTCAATGGAGACTAGAAGAGGGAATTTATGTCGAGTACCTTTCAAAGAAAGGAAGCAATTTCGTGCATTAAAAGAATTATACTTGGCTTCGTTTCGATGCAAGATTGACAGCTTCCTTCTCATGTAGGTAGATATCTATCATCATCAGATATTTATTCTTAACGACCTAAGTCTGTAAATACTTGTGTAATAGGACTTTTTAGCAGTCTTGGCTACACCCAGTTTTCTTTCGATCTTTTTCCCGTCTTATCGCTTTCGTTCTCAAATGTATTTAATTTCCATAGCGACAGGTTACACAGTACATTAATTTAATATCTAAATAAGTGTTACGGTAATTCCATTAAAACTCGAGCGGAATCACGTCTAATAGAACGCAATCGATCATTCTTCCGTTGCTGTATGTCGCATACGTGCAGGTACGGACGATAAATTGCAGTTCGATGATAAATTTCAGAAGACTTGTGCCCATGAACGTAGGGCGTAGGCGGATTATCAGTCGGTGGGAGGGGAGGCAGAGTCTAATTTTTTTCTTCTAAAGTAGTGCAAAATCGACTTTTTTCCGTCGGTTACGCCCATGCTCGTGCCCTTCGATCTGTACGCGTCTAAACCATACCTGGTGGGGTGTAATGAAATTTCATTTTCTGATTCGATTATCCAGAAGAATGCATTCCAAACGTCATAATCGTGTAAGAGATCCTTATGATATAATGTTATCGTTAAGAATTCGGTATCACGCTACGAGAACATTCAATTAACGTGAGCAATATAGTTCGCACTATCTGTTACGATGTCCGTATCGTTTTATAATTACAGTCGTAGAGATAAGTAATTACAAGTGTTCACGGTAATTACGGGCGAGCGAGTGGCTACCGGCCTAGCAGTTCGTGGCTCGCGCGTGCAATTAGAATTAGACGATCGTATCCTTACGTGAAAAATCGTCGTTGTAAACCGCCGCGAATAAACGTTAGAATCGATATGGAAACGGTAAATTTTACGAGCGTGGATTTACAACGCTTCGTCGTCATCGACGCGTACCAAAACGTAAAATCGTTCAATTGACACCTTAAACGTGTATAGGCCCGAACCCCTCCGTAGCTCATCACCGAGTAATCGAGATTTCCGTGAGAAGTTCGGATTACGCTGTCTCACGGAGCACCCGATTCACCGACGGCGCATGAATGCATTGACACGGTTGCGATGAACCAACATTAAATTGGTTAATTTTGTTAGGATTAAACGGGGACAGTGAATGCCTGACCTGAGGCGTCCTCGGTTGAAGGCCTAATTACTAATAGGTCCAGATCTCGCTATCTAATCAAATTCAATGGACAAAATAGATCCGGGGCTACTCTTTCCATGGGCTGGCCGACGAAGGGATATTAACGTGCCGGATGGTAATGACCCTACCCTATCGCTCGAACTTTGTCCTCGTTGTTGGCAGTGCGTAGTTGGCGATAGACCGAAGGAGACGCGCGCGGCGGTTCGTTCTTTTGAAACGTTGAAAATCCGCCCCTTGAAAAAAAAAACGTCTAGGCGAGCTTACTCCAGGTACGTGATACGCAGCAGTGTATACATATATGTATACACACTCGTATTTCAATCACCGAACAATTTTTCCTCGAATCATCTCGCCTTGAAAACCGCGCGAAAACTGGTAGTAAAAGAAAAACTCTGCCGCCGAGAACGATACAGCTAGGCGAAGATATAGCATCACCCGTAAACATTTTTATTAGACTTTGTATCTCGTTTCATTCTCTATTGCCTTTTTTATCGCGCGGCTACGTAGTAGCAGCCAGTGCCTCAACATTGTTGAAGCCTCGCGCCAGACTAAGGGACTGGCTCTTCATCGAGCAACTTTCTTGCGCGTATCGATAAATCGATTCTCCTCTTCCTTGCGTGTTAGAATAATCCGATCACCGGATTTATTCAATAGACTCGCGGCTACGAAGACGACTTCTTTCCAACTGTCCCTGCCAAAGATACATATACACATACATACATATAACGGCGAGACAGTATTCGCGACGATCCTCTCGCGTCTATTCTCGGACGAATCCCACGGCGCATCTCGCAAACGGAAATAGCGGCCCGTGTGTATCTCACCCCGGCCGAGGAAATTAATCGCATTCCCTATCGATCGACGGTACATACTGCGACGTCTGCGACCTGATACAAAACTACAAAAGTCATGCGAAACGAAAACACAGGACGGACATATTTACTTATATACATATAGTCTGTTTAGGGCCAGCACCCCTCGGATAAGCCCGCGGGATCTTTGACACGTCCCCTCGGATTCCCGACGGCGTTAAATTGATAAGAAGAATGTATGTATGTAGCCCTCGATATGGTCGAGCAACGGGCGATTAAAAACAATGTTATCCGCCCGATAACGGAAACAGCGACGTCCGCGAGCAAACGGTCAGCCGACTGCAAGTCAGAGACTATGACGACTGTTGCACGCGGAGTCGACACCTCGTGTAGCCCGGTAAACATCGAAGTCATTTCGTCCCGTTGTTGCGTTGGTGTCAGCGTTTAATTCGATTACATGGTCCGAGTTTTCGAGAGGAGAGTGCACGTGCCCGAAGTACAAAATATCCTAGCGGCGGAACCCGTTGCAATTTCAGCTTGGTCGCTCCCGCAATACATATGTATATCCGGACGACTCGCGGAGGCCGAGAGTTCGCGCCGTGTGTCACGTACCGGCCGACAATTCCGTCAAACAACGGAAGACGGAGGGGGGGAATACGGACCAAAACATCGAATACCTGCTTCGATTCTCAATTCGGTCCTGCTGCGTATTATACCTCGAGCGTAAGTTTCAAATGATCATCACCTGACCGACCTGTCTGGTGATGATCGGAGCACTTTTCCGTCGTGTGCGTCTGATTTTATCGAGTCGAAAGGTTGTCAAAAGGACGACGGTTAATTCTCGATCGAGATTCAAGCCTTTCATGGTTCGGCGTCTTGTACAGTTGTTAGTTTTTTCAAGTTTTCGAGAACAATATGACAGCCCATAAAACAGATTGTATACCATCGTTCTGTATACAACTTGTTCGACAATTGTATTGTGAATAACTTACACGTGAAAGCCTGAACAGTAACAATGCTCTGTGTGTGTGTGTGTGTGTGTGTGTGTGTGTGTGTGTGTGTGTGTGTGTGTGTGTGCGCGTGATATACTCG